GCTTTAGTACAGGGGTAAGATTGCGTACATCCGACCCCCCTTACCCCCCTCTTTTCACTATGCGGCACTGGGGTAAATGAAAATGGTGATTTTTCACTGATGAGATTCATCACATTAATATTTTTTATGCATCATCAATTAATTAAACACATAAATATTGAAACGGTGAGTATTATATTAGTGATATGTGATATGGTACTTCCATTTATGCATTAATTTACTGAAATGCATATAAGGACAAATTTAGGGTGTGTGATGGGCGACCGTCCAATGAACTTCAAAAATTTCTATTATAATCTAGTATTTCATAAAACTTCATACTTTAGTTAGATATATGCATGTCCACCTCGTTTAATTTTTATTTTTTAAAATATAAATAATTTAGTGACGGGGCCATTAATGATGTGAATTTGAGAGAATTTTCTCAAATGGCAAACTTCTCGCCTCTCGGAGCTAGCTTGAGTTGTCGCACAATTAGCGCTTCATCTCGCTTCAAGCGACAATATATTATTGACGATTCTTCTGATAATTTTGTTCGGAACCTAAAGACACGCACAACTATTCAGTTAACACTTAAGAATGACTTTTTGTCCTATCAGGGAACAAATATGAAGTCCAATCACATGATAGGTTAAGAAAACTTTTGTATAAAATTTTCTCCATGTAAACAAGGATACAAGTAATGTGATTTTCTAAAATAGGAGTACTATTTTCCTTCACGTAGAGTAATCATATCATCCTATCTTAAGCACTTGTTTCTAGCAAGTCCTGCGCCAGGCCTTTCCAAATCACAATTTTCAGCTCAAAAACAATTTTCGTCTATTTTCAGCTCCGTTGTCATACTTCGATACTACCTCCGTCCCAACTTGTTTTTGCAAAGTCAACATTGTTTTGTCAACCAATATTAAAGTTAAATCACCCCTATTGATAATTAATTAAATTTTAATAATTAATATTTACATATTCAGAAACTACATCAAAATCTCTATAAAGTTGTAAAGTTCAAATTAAAATTTAATTATGAATTGATATCCTAATTAAGTGAGTAAAATGAATTGGTTTGAACCAATAAAGTTAATTTTGCAACTCAATTTGTGGTGGAGGTAGTATTATTAGGCACTAATACTATAATTGATATTACTTTTCAAACATTACATCATTAATATTGTTATGGTTGATGTTATTATAATTATAATTATAATTATATTTATTCTTCTTATTATTCTTTTAATTTCATATGTACGGTATAAGTATGTGGTACCCACATTACATTTGTAGATTGGTAGGTCACCAAACTTTGACCCCACAATTATGCGTGATTAGTTAATAAGTACTTGTATTATTATATTACTTTACTAGAGTAATAATACAAAACAAATTTCGTGTCCCTTAATTCGCTCATTAAGTAAAAATAAGCGAGGTTGACACCATATCCACTCGATAATCACATATCATCCTCGGATCCTTGTTCCATCATATCCAAGTTACTAAAATAATATGTCCTATTTCTTTTTTACTAAACTAGTTAAAATATATCCATCATATCCAAGTTACTATGAGTTTTTCAACATAAACAAAAATATGTTTAAACTAAATGAAAATATATTGATTACTTGAATATCATTAGAGACGAGCTATCTATTTCTTATTTCTCAATTTGAGGATGTTAAATACGGAGTATAACTTATCAATAAAAAAATGAATAATGTTATTATTGTTTTCATCTTTTAGGTTCTCTTGTCTAAATAGTATTATTGGACATGTTCTACAGCAGCTGATCTATAAATATATCTTTCTAGAACAATATAACATTGGATAATTTTGAACATGGAACTCAAGAACAATGTAATAAAATATATTTTTGCAGATGGAATTAGATGTCTCTTCAATCGAATGATATTGTTTATTCTTATGTTTATACATAATCGATCTTCTCAAGATTCCTCTTCACTTGTTGCCTTCAAAAGTTCTTAAGTAAACATTACGTTTTATATATAGACCATTACACATTTTATTCATGGTCTTACTCAAGCAAGCACAAACCTCAAGCTTCCTCTACAATTGTTGCCTTCAAAAGTTCTTCTATCCAATTCAAACAATACATTCTCACAACAGTGGTGAACAAAAGCACTCACATTATAAGTAAGTCACACACCTTCAATCTCTCCTAACAACCCTGACCAAAATAGTGATAAAAATCACATCTAAATTTCTTTAACCTGTAGGTCCTTTGCAGACAACCAACTACCCCCACGTGTTTACAAAAGGAACTTTGTATTCCAACACATCTTTCGGGTTACACTATGAATATATGTGCAAATGTATTTGTGTTATACTTTGGATATATATTGCCAATTCTTTCTCACTCAAATTACTATATTTACTCTCACGTCTCATCCAATCAACTATGTGTTTATTGTCATGTTTCCTTTGTTTAAAGTACATTTATGTTCTCTATCACAACCTGTTAGGGATCCCAATCCATATAACCCTTCAACAATTACAAGTCCCAAAATATCAGAGGGCCTAACTTGTATATCCTTGATTTTACAGTCTCACTAGTGCAAGATTTGATTCCTTTAGGTTTTGTCACCAGATGGCCGCATTTTGACCAGAGCAAACTAGCTAAGTAGTGAGGCATGTTTACTAAATTTTACTCTGTTATGAGAAAATTCATTAGACAATGGAGGGTGATCTTACTATTGTAATTGAAATACATTCCTTTCTGAATGGTTGTGTTCTTATTGTCGACCATGGTGTCAACTCGATTTGTGTGTAGCGTTGCAACAACCTTATTCCTCATCATCTTCAAGATCTAGTGGGTCATACTTCCTAGAACCCTGGTCGGCTAGTACCACCTACAAGGAGATAATTCTAGTGTTTAGCTGCACGAAGTGTAAACACAAAGCACGAGCTTCCAAGTCAGCGGTCTTGACATGTTGCTAAACAAGATATTCATTCAATCCACCACTTTACACAGCATACATACGATTGCTATTGGGTTGGTTTGGGCATTAGAGTAAATGGGGCACATAATCATGTATGCAAACTTATTGTCATTTTCTCAACTGATATATTAATCGAATGTTCTCACCGGAGTTCGAGAAGATGATAAACTAGAATGGATCACTATGAAAGAACCAATTGGTCTAAAATAAGATGCTCGTAGACTTAATGCAGGTTTTAATTAGGCTTGCATTCATCTGCAGGTTATGTTCACTTATTTGGTATCTTCCTTTGAGACTAAATTTTACAGCTAGGATTTGGGTGAAACTTGCTCCAACAAAGTCACTATTCGCTTTTCAAAAACTAGTTTTTATGTAATACAATAAAAAACAGAGTTCACTTAGATTTATTGATAATATGGTGTCTCAATAGCAATTTCAAATGAATATGGTTATTGAAGTCATTACTACTAGGGATGTGTTCGGTTGTTTCAATTCGATTTTGATCCATAATCAAATACAAAATCAAAGTAAAAAGTTCCATTTCATATTTCAACACTTGAAATCATGGTTTGAGTGGGTTAGTTCATTTTTGTTCGGTTTCAGTTTTTTTCAAATTTATTACTAAAAATTTGTCATTTGAGTTATTCATGGGGCTAGTCAAACATATTACATACAAAATGAAAGAATATGAGAAAATAACAAAAGAGAAAAAATAAATATTTCTGGAACTATATGATCATGCGTGAAAGAAAACACACTTTTTAATTTTTTTTTGTATATATTCTTAACTATTTTGGTTACTAGTTTGAAAAATTCATTAATATTTATTCTCTATGAGGTTTAGTTGAGAAAATAATTAGTTGTTCTATAAATATAAAAGCTTTAGATTACATAAATACAAAAGTTACCAGTAATAATAGCAAAAATATATTACAATCATGCAACAAACTGCAAAATACATATATAAAAGACACAATAGATCAATATAGCTACACTATTGTAGGGAATGAATGTGTAAATGCACTTATAAACTTAACTAAATCACTAATGTAGTACTTTAACATTTAATAGAAATCTGTAATATTTATAAGAGAAAACATTAATTTTCTATCACAAGGGAACTAAAGCTTAATATTATCAATGATATTAGAATTAATGTTTAACGATTAACAAATAAAATTTCATATGGAAAGTTTTAAGCAGTTCGGTTTATTCGGTTCGATTTTGAAAGGCTAAAACCAAATAACTACCGTCCGATTTTTTACACATAATTTTGGCTTTTAATAGTTCAGTTTAATTTGATTGCGATTTTTTTTTATCGCATTTCAGTAAGACATACAATACACGCCAAAAGAGTGCGGCAATGTAAATCCTAGCCACGACAATGCACTAGGTCTGGACGCAATCGCAGTTTCAAGCGAGTTTTCAAAGGCAATTTTCTCCTCTTCTTTCTGGTTCGCTTAGCATCTAGTTCACGCTAGTTTTTTTCGGGGTTTGATTCCTGTCATCTGGTCCGGGTTTGTTTTGGCCGAGGTTATTGTCTACGTCCGGCTGAGTTTTCTTTAGCGAGGATTTGGTTCGTTCCAATTGTGGACGTGTTTGGGCTTTTGATCGTGAGTCCCGCTGTTTTTTCTGTCTCGGATCCAGCAATCAATTTGTTGGTCATTAATGGAGAGTTTAAATCAGGCTTATGAAAGGAGGTCTTTCGAGGAGGTTGATGACGAGGGAACAAAAAACAGCAAGACGGCGGTGCTTTCGGAGCAACACCACCTAAAATACCGACAGGTGCTTTACCCGAGAGGATTCCTTTGGAGGTGACTGGTCAAATCTCTTCTCTCTTTCGATGGTTAGTAAAATCGAGATGTTCTTTTGGAGGTGGATGAACGAACCCTTCTCCGAGAAGTAGATGAAAAAGAAAAGGATAATTTTGTGAGGTACCAACTACTCCGATTAAATAACTTTTTTTTTTGGAGAACCGATTAAACAACTATTAAGATAAAGTTTTGACTAAAGAAATGGCAAACAGGTGTCCCTCGTTTTCCAAAGTACCCTTCGCCTGCTTTAAACTTTCTCTTCACTCACTCCGTTTATCCAATTCCATATAACTCCAAAGCAATACCCCGTATCTTGCCGGAGAGAAGAATCCACACCAAATTTTAGCTTTTCTTTCTCTTCTTATTTCCATTTTTCCTTGTCTTTCTTATACTCTTCTCCTTGTCTTGCTTACTCCAAACCTCAAACCCAGCGATAAAAACAAGGATTGGAATTGACCATAACCCAAGGTCAGATCGAGCTTCTTCTTTTTGGCTACTTTTTCTGCTTTATCTACTGATTTGTTCGATAATCCCTGTTTTCTTTATGGGACTTTCAGATTGATGAAAACATAGAACTGTGAGGCCGGGGCTTTCTGCTGAGATCATCCGTTTTCACCTTTCTAGGTCTCATCTGAGGTAAACTTCTTTCCATTTTATTTATTCTGTCCCCAGTAATTCCAGTAGATTCCTGAATATTCTGAGAAACATAAAATTAATTGATTCAATTTTGGACCCCTTTTTCACTTGGAAAAGAATATGATTGCCTTACTTTTTTTATTTCACTTTCTCCCAGACACAGTCTTTTTATGGGATTATTTATTTATTTAATCAATTTCTCCCAGACACAGCCTTTTTATGGGATTATTTATTTATTTAAATAGTTTTTAAATAAAAACTATTTAAAAAAACACGGCTATGTGTAATCGTGTGCCACGTGTTCCTTCACTTCCCCGTGGCTTCTGGGGATCGTGACACGCGTCCATGTATCATTTACTAGGTGGCCGACTTGATCAATTAATTAAATATGAATCCGTAAGAGACAATTAGTCAACCATTAATTTGTGTGCAGTACTAATTTATAAATAAACGCTGGACTGGGGCTGTCATTTTCTACAAGTCTTAGGCATGGGGCGGGACAGATTTCAAATAATGACTTTAATGATGCTCATTAATTAAATTACAACATGCGTATCACCGATAGGGAAACGCAGAAATGCGTAAACAGGGCTAATCTCAAATGGACAAGAATAATCTCAAATATCAGTGATCTTTTTTAAATAATCCAAAGTATCGATTATCTCAAAAAATCTTCTTAAAATACTCTACTTGCTATCTAGTAATAAATATCATAGGTTATTTATGGATAATTATAAGTCATTGTAGTGTTTTGAGATTTTTTTGAATAGTTTGGATTATTTTGAGATAATTGATACTGTGGATTATTTCAAGTAGATTACTAATAGTTGAGATTATTCTTATTCATTATTCCTTTTATATAGTATATATAAGAGATTATTTAAGTGCGTGTGTGTATATCAGTATATAGTATTAAAAATTACAAGGATTTTTTTTTTAAATTATGCTCCGTAATATATTTTCCCGGACCATTTCCATAACATCTAGCGATTTTATACTATGAATAATTTTAGATTAGATACACCTGCGTATTGGATTATTAGATTAGGGTGTTGCTAGGCGCACCTTCATTCCTACTTTACGTAACCCTTGATAGACTATTATGTCCTTTTCGATTCTTTTAGGGGGTGTTTGGAACTGATTCTGCTTCTGCTTCTTTTTTTAAAATAGAAGCAGAATCAGTTTTCAGAAGCTGGTACCCCCAGCTTCTAAAAAAACTTATTCTGAGAGTAAATTAGAGCTCTAGAAGTGCTTCTGGAATTTCACCCAAACACTCCAGCTTCTGCTTCTACTCCCTGAAGGAGCAGAATCAGTTTTGAGAATCAGATCCAAACACCCCCTTACTCCGTATTAAATTTGTTCCTTAACAATATAGCTTCACACGTGATCACAAAGACACAAACCCCTATTAAATTTTAAAATTTACTCTACAATCAATAAACTTTTTATAAGTTTTACATTTATGATGACTCAGTCTTTATAAAAATAAATAACACTAAAAATAATATTTTTAAATTATATCTAAAAAGTCTAAGAAAGTTCTAAATTTGGTGTAGTCTCACTTGTTTAGTAAGGATGTTTCATCTTGAACAAAAATTTATTGGTCTGATCTGATTTAGTTTAGTAAATGTATGACCTTTGTGTATAGAATATAGAGTATAGTCCGATATGACACTAGATCGAGTTGAAGTGAAAATACCCATTACACTATAAATTTAGAAGCTGTTCTCTTCGCCTGATCTGAATGTTTCTGATCTGAATTTTTTAAGTTCTGATCTGATCTGATCTGAATTTTTCTGATCTGATCTGATCTGATCTGAATCTTTCTGATCTGATCTGATCTGATCTGAATCTTTCTGATCTGATCTGATCTGATCTGAATCTTTCTGATCTGATCTGAATGTTTCTGATCTGGTCTGATCTGATCTGAATGTTTCTGATCTGATCTGAATCCTTCTGATCTGATCTGAATCTTTCTGATCTGATCTGATTCGAATATTTCTATGATTATAATTATAATTATAATTATAATTATAATTATAATTATTATTATTATTATTATTATAATTGCAATTACAAATATAATTTAAATAAAATTATAATTATAATTGTGATTATAATTACAATATTTATCTCTATAATTGTAACTATAGTTATCAATATTATTATAATTACTCCGTAAAATAATTACAATAGTAATAATAATAATAATAATAATAATAATAATAATTATAAAAAAATAATAATTATAATCATAAATTATAATTATAATATAATTATAAGTATAATTATAATTATTATTATTATAATTAATAATAATTATATTAATATTAATTATAATATTATAATATAATAATAGTAATATAAATACAATTAATATTATTATAATGATATTATTATATTAATATTATTATTACAATAATATAATAATATGATTATTATTATAATTAGTATTATATTATTATAATATTATATTATAATTATAATTATAATCATAATTATAATTATGATTGTAATTATAATTATAATTAATTACAATTATAAATATAATTAATTATAGATATAATTATAATAATTACAATTGATTATACTTATAATTATAAGAATTATAATTGTAATTATAATTATAATTACATATAATTATAATATAATATTTTAATAATATTAATCATATTATTATTATTATGTTGTAATAATAATAGTCTTCTTAACAATTGCATTTATATTACTATTATTATATTAAAATATTATAACTATTATTAATATCTTTTTTTATCATATAATTATTAATATTATTAATAATAATTATATAATAATAATCATAATAGTAATAACAATAATAATAATAATAATAATAATAATAATAACTAATATTTAATATAATAATAAAAGTGATAAATCATGTTTGAACTTTTCTGATCTGATCTGATCTGAATGTTTCTGATCTGATCTGAATGCTTCTGATCTGGTCTGATCTGATCTGAATCTTTCTGATCTGATCTGAATCTTTCTGATCTGATCTGATCTGATCTGAATCTTTCTGATCTGATCTGATCTGATCTGAATTTTTCTGATCTGATCTGATCTGATCTGAATTTTTCTGATCTGATCTGATCTGATCTGAATAAAATAAGAATAAGCAATAAGTAATAAGAATAAGACGAACAGAACAGCACCTTAATCATGTTAAAAATTTACTTTTTTTTGTAATTAATACTCCGTATTAAAAAACTTTAGACAAGTAAAGATATACTATCATATCAATCTAACATTCTTAAATATAGGATATATAGAGAAATTCATTTATTATGAATTAAAATTTTCTGGTCCAGTCAATGATATGAATAAAACGTAAAATAGTTGAATGTATTGCTTTTTAAATTATAAAACGGTAGAATTTATTAATAAAACGTTAGGATTTCAAATGTGTTAATAAAATGTATCAATACACTCAACTATTTTCTTAATCGTCAACTCAACTTTTTAAATAGTTGAGTCATTGAGTCAATTGCTTTTTAGATTGGTACTACGTAATTAATAAAACGTTAACATTTAACTTAAGCATTACGGTTAGAGCAGTGCGTGAGTTTCGTGAGCAAGAAGGATAAATCGGTCCAATAATTGGAAAAAAGAGGTGCGCATAGTAACATTGAAGGTGCGCCAAGAAGGTCCGTTAGATTATAGACTCAAAGAAGTATAGTTTAAAGATGAAATCTGCATGTACTCAAAGTCTCAAAGTTCTCCTATAGAAAAAACAGAATACAAAAACAGAACATAATACTCTAGAAGACTGATTGTTCAAAGATGCACATATCCGATTTATTAAAAAAATCACAAAATCAATTCCAGAACTTTTAAAAATCTCAGATGTAGTCTGAAACGTCCGGTACAAATATCCTATAATACGAGACGTTGCGCAGATACAGCACCCTAATGAAGTATCCTTGCTACATAGGCTATTTTTTGCAAGTACCTGCTACATAGGCTGTGGAATCCTTTTTTAAGAAAAAAATGTGAACATAAATATTTGCATAATACTTGTTTCATTCCATCCTAAAATAAAAATAAAATTCATACTCCCTCAGTCTCTTGAAAAATTCATGTACTCCTTTCTTGAGTATTGAGACATCCCTAAACAGAGTGGTCTCCTTATTTGGTCAAGAAGCTCTTATTGATTTGTTCTACTATCCTAGTAATAATAATTGTACAATGTCAAACAATGTTAAACATTGTCGAACAATGTACTTCATACTAGCATTTATTCAGGAAGTCAAAGAATAAATTGTAATTTCTCTTAATTGTAATTGAAAATCAAAGAAGGATTTTTTTGGACGGAGGGAGTATTTTTTCATTTATCATTATATATGTTCCTTCTTGAACCCTTATTGTTTCCATTTTGGACAAAGAATATGTGGTTCATATTGCTTAATTGTTTCTCTCTCTGTTGGAAAACTTTCAACCACGTTTGATCCAATTGTTGCTTGTTTGTGTGTTAGCTGACAAGGTCTGAGTAGCCCGCCAGGGGCGGGATTGATAATTTATTCACCCTTACATTGTCCAACTTGGTTTTGGGGTTAAAGAGTGTTGAAGTGTTTGTACTTTGTACCATATCGACTAGATGTCAAATAGTAAACAAACATGTAAGACTATAAGCTAGTTGATTCAAATCCAATTAAGTATTCCACTATCCCATGTGTTATTACATATGTATTCAATAAATAAATACATTTTGTTGAGTCACCTATATTATGATGAAGACTTTTGTAGTTAAACTAATTCTATTTTAAAATTTGTTAAAAAAAGTAGAGGGAGTGTCTATATCTAATATTTTGATGAAGACTTTTGTAGTTTATAATAGTGTGATTAACCAAAGGTAAGAGTGTAAAATTGAATCGAATCCTTAAATAGTTCAGGATTTGGTTTGGTCATGTGTGGTATGCCAAAAGTAAGCTTTATAAGCTTGTTCATAGCGTTTTTTCAAGGATGCATTTAAAACAAGCAGTTCCGTTGATGAACCTATGTGATAAGTTGAACTTGTTTAATACGCTTCTTTCAGTGGTTTTTCAAATAAGTTGTATGAGTTTAATCATTTTTTAATTGTTTTAATTTTATAATTATATTAAACACATCCTTCATCTGTTGGGAATAAGGCTTGGTTGTTGTCGTTGTATTAAACACATCTTTTTATGTCATTTTGAAATTATTATAGCCTAGAACTAATTTCACCGAAAACTATCTATAATCAATATGAGAGCAACAATTCCTTCAAATTTACAGGCTATAAGTTAAAAATTATTTCATCAGTGACATTGTGTCAAATTATGTCAAATTATTAGCTATCTGCTAGGTTAGCTGTTTGTGTTCTCCAAATAAAGCCTGTTTAAGGATAAGAGTTATATTTTTGAACAAGGGTAAGTCAATCCCTTGTTCCCTTTGAACAAAAAGCATTTTACGGTGATATGTATTTACTGCTCTCTTGGGTGATGCATGTATTATGCATTCATATGCTCATAGGTAGGGCACCTTCTGGGCTCGGATATATGAATGAATTCTTCCTAGCTAGGCCACTACATACGTTTATTGTTATATTTGCTATTGTCATTATTGCTAGTTTTTAATATTAGTATCATTACGGAGTATTTTTATTAGCACGATCAATGTTTGTACTCAAAAGTTTGTGACTGACATCCAGCTGTTGCTAAACAGAACTGCTAATACGCCCTTCTTGTATCAAGATTTTGGGGTAATATAACAAGGTCTGCTCGATGGCATCCAACTCGGTTAGATTTCCGAATCTCTCTGTTATCTGCCTTAACTTCCAGAATGTTCACAAGTACATCTTTACAAAAATCTATGATTCGTAGAGGATTGATGTTTTTTGATATACTATGATAGTATGATGTATTTACAGTGGCATTAACCTTTTACTAGTTGTCAAAAGAGGGTGTCATTAGAAGTGTGATATTCCTTTCTCAGGCTAGGTCGAGCAAGAACATGAGGAGGTTAGGATCAAAGAAATCACATTCCTGGTGGTGGGATAGCCATATTAGTCCCAAAAACTCCAAGTGGCTTCAAGAAAATCTTGAGAGTAAGTCATGGTCATGCACTCCCTATGATTTCTTATAAATGTGTGCATTAGATGACCTTGTTTGGTAGAGTGGCTTATCCATCTGTTTTTAGCCCAGATTGATGAAGTTTGACTGATAAAACTAATTGACCTGCTAATATGAGTGTCTGGTATTTGGCTTTTCTATTAGCATCTTCATCTTTTGCCTCATTCATGCTGGTCGTTCTCAGCTTTTGGTTTAAGATTTTAAGTTACTTGTGCATAATTTTCGTATGTATATATAGTGTAATAAGCTAATATACTCATAATTATACTAATCATGCTCTTTTAAGACTGAAAACTATTAACATTTTTTCTGGCTTCTTAAATTCAGTTTTCAGGAAAAACTGGATACCCAAAATCACCACGAATGGATCCTTGAAAAGCCAATAAATATTAGCTGGTGGACACAGTCAAGAATAACCGTGTTTTATATTAGCTTTTCTCCCTGCATTTTTTTCCAAAACATTTTACACCTTGAACTTTTTCTGTGGTGCTTTAATTTTTTGAACTTTTTTAACAATTAAATTAAATAATTAAACATGAACAAAGTAACCTCCCTGTCACGTTGACATTTTCATATCTATCTTAGTATCTATTCATTGGTCAAACTGCACATTTTGTCTTTAGCTTATTTTCTTAAAGAATCTTTTATCATACAAGAGGCATGTCACTACTCATTTTATTAAAAATTCATGCAGTATATGAATATGCAAGTTTCATTTTATTTTAAAATGGAAGAAGTGGTAAATAATTTAATTTTTGAAAATAAATGTTTAAAAAGATAACTTTATTAAGTAATTAAATATATAATTAATAAGTAATTGATAATAGTAAAGAGAAATTAAATAGTGTTTATCATATATCAATAAGCTCTATTTTATAAATATAAATATTGTAAATTCTTATAGCATAATAAATGAATCTTTATTTAGCCACTCATTTTAATTCATTTTAAATGCTTTCCACAAACCATTAGTTTTACTGTACGTCATTATATATACTCGTAGTTAACAGTGGGCCAAAACCCCTAAGATCAAACCAATCATTTGCTAAAAATGCTCTAATCGCTGTTTAACAAATAAAGTGTGTGTTTTCAAAAAAACAAATAAAGTGTGTGATTAATCAATGTCTCGTGTGGTGGTTTAGTAGACGGTGATTAAGAATATGCTTTTATGTCTGTTATAATCTCTCAGCCATTATCTTTTTTGTGGTTTCCTGCATTGCAAAATGCTTGACCATGAAATCTTGCAAAAAGGGCCAACAAACAGTTTTGACTTTTATTTTCATTTGTCTAAATTTCTGAGCTACAAAGTGTTTTTCATACATAATAATCCATGTAATTGTGATATGAGAATAAACCGATTAAATGACAAACCAGAAAATGACAAAAAAATCACTGGTTACAGAGATGGACCAGAACATAAAGAGGATGCTGACTTTGATTGAAGATGATGGGGACTCGTTTGCAAAGAAGGCTGAAATGTATTACCAGAAGAGGCCAGAATTGATCAACCTCGTTGAGGATTTCTACCGCATGTATCGCTCTTTGGCCGAACGTTATGACAACGTGACCGGCGAACTCCGGAAAAACATTCCCCCTGATCTCCAATCCCAAGGCTCTGGCATCTCCGGTGCCGGTTCTGAACCGACTTCTTCCTTGCCTTCTCCTCACCACAAACCTGGTGGGCTCCGCCCCGCAGGATTTGAGTACTTCCTTGGAAGTTCAGGAAGCGGCTCGGTTGCAGGAGATGAATCTTCCACATTGGATTCCGAGTCAGAATCTGATGATGCTTCTTCCATCAATAATTATTCAACCACACTCAGCCATGATGACGACCATGTCGGCTTACAAAAGAAGATTACCGATTTGGAGAATGAAAGAGTTCATGAGAATGCCGATCCGGAAGCAGAAGTTGTGGACCCCGTTGAATTAAAAAAGATCGAGACTCTCGAGGTCGAGTTGAGGATTGCTAAAGATAAACTGAACGGTTCAGAGGAGGAGATAAAGAGCTTAAGAAACGAACTTAAAAACAATGAATGTTTAACAAAGCAATTACAGAAAGATGTGTCTGTTTTGACAACCAAACTTGATAAGGAGAAAAGAGAGGTCTCCAAGCTTCATGACCGGATAACGAGGTATGTTAATGCCTTGTATATGGCACATTACGGCCTTTTGTCTTTTATTGTATTTTAGTTACCTAGGATTTTATTATTGTCTATTAATGTTGTCCAAGATTGCTTAATAAATTGTCTCCACATAAGATGAGTATGAAATAACAAACCAAAACATATAAGTTATTAGGTTACTTATCATATCAACTTGACCTTTAGGATAAAACAAGTCTTAATGTTGTAAGAAAGCCAACTCAAATCATAGTTGTGTTATAGTTCTCATTGAAAATTAAAAATGCGCAGTTCAGATTAGGCATTGAGACATGAATGTATCTTATAAAAAAAAATAGGACCATCCGAATGATGTTCCAAGGACCAAGGGTGTGTGCCTTTAGACTACTCCTCTGAGCCTATGGGGGTCTTTTATGATGGAACTTGATCAATATATACCAAATAGTTATTGTTGTCTAAACACTTCTCTAATATTACAAAAAGGTACAAAACCAATCTATCAGAAAGAGACCAGGAAATCCGGGGATTGAAGGAATCAATGTCCAACGCAAACAAGGCTTTATCAGAGGAGAACTCACAGATACAAGAGGATATTACTAAACTCTTGAAGGAAAGGGCCTACTTGGCAGATAATGTCAAAGAAATGGATGTACGGTGCCAATGCTTAGAGGAGGAGCTGAAACGGGCTTTGGCGGGAAAATCTGAAATGGAAGCTTCATTCGTTTTCGATATTGAACAGTTAAAAGCAACCATTAACGAGAAAGATGGTCTCGTGGAAGAATTAAAGTTGAAGAATAATGAGCTTAATGATAGCATAGATGAAATGAAGGAGCACTTGCATGACTTGCACATGGAACACGTGCAGTTGATTATGGAAACTGACAGCGCACATAAACTTTTAGAGGAAATGAAGTCGACCGTCAATGAAATGGAGACAGAAATACAGAGACAACAAGAGATAATCGAGGAAGGGGCCGAAGAGAAACGGGAGGCTATACGACAGCTTTGTTTCTCTCTGGAACACTACAGGAATGGGTATCATCGCCTTCGGCAAGCTGTTATGGGCAACAAAAGACTACCTGTTATGGTGTCCTGAAATCATATGGGTGCTTGAAAAGAACACTTGCTTTTTCTCTTTTGCTTTCCATTTTTTGTTTTGTGAAGTTTTGTTACAATCTTGATCATCCTGGTTCATGTGTTGATATGCATAAACGTGAGGTGTGGGTATTTTTCCAAAGGTTATGTTTCAATTTTTGGGAATCTAGTTTTTCACTTTTTTGTTGGTCTTTTGATGTATAAACGGTTTAAGTCTTGTTATGTATTATAAGAGGATGAACATATGTTGCATTGTTAATATTTTGGCCGTTTCCAGCAAGGCAGTAAGTACATTTCTTTATCTTTTTTTGATTTTTTTTTATACAGGAAATACAATATTTTGTCATTTTTGTTTAAATCATAAATTGCATCTTTATTAGGAAACATCATACCCATCTTTGGAACGTTTACACTTTACACGATCATCTCTCTCACCATTGCAATCTGCATCTGTTTACAAATTTAAGTCATTATCTTACATAAAACTAATTCTTTAGCATACATCTTTCATACATTTTGTAAGTATCGTATAATAAAAATAATATACTTACTATGCTACATTCAGGTTCGAAAAGATTATAGACATCAATAACATCCGTTGTTGGTAAGGTCCTATGCAGTATGAATGTACTAACTCTGTAACGTGTTTGTGTGTGAAAGACATCCAATCATGTTACCAAAAAATTAATAATGGGTCTCATCACAGATTCACAGTCGTTCATTTTCTATGTAGCGTTTCCTTCCCTGGGTTGCGGTTTCATTATCCTCCCCGTCGTCGATCGCACCTCCGTGTTTGATCACATTTATGTGTCTGGTCTCACTTCCTTCTTCGTTTGCACCTCTTGTCCGGTTGCAGCTTCGTCTTGAAATGCATCTGGTCGAAGATCAAATAAGCAGTAAAACCATAAAACTAAAAAAGAAAGAAGACAAAGGGCTGAAAGGCCAGCACGTGGATGGGGGAGGGGTATAAAATTCAGTAAAATTTTAGTTATATATGATCTACATTCTACACTAAGGTCTAAGGTTTACACAAGAGTACACCTAGCAAAATAATAGCATGAATAATGGACATTATTTGTAACTCTTCTAATGACAATCTGTTTTCGGCATACATGATATAGTTGGAAGTGGGCAGTAGGCATGGACCGGTCCCGGGCTGGGCCGGGCTCCGGGCCGTGGGCGGGCTTTTTGGGTTTGGCCACGGGCCCGGAACCGCCCGGGATTCTACCGGCTCCGGCCCGGGTTGGTCCACGGGCCTGTTCATTTTTATTGCTTTTCTAATTAACCCCCGACCCCCCCCCCCCTCACCCCCTCACTCCCCCAAAACACCCAGCCCAACCCGGAAAAAAAGAGGCCGGACTGGCCGGCACCAAAGGATAGGGTAGCCCGGAACCGCCCCGCACAACCCCCCGGGCCGGGCCTAGGCCTGGAACTGGGCCTGGTTCACAAGCCGGTCTGCGTCAGCACAGTGGCGGGCCGGGCCGGGCTGACCGGAACTGGGCCATCACTAGTGGGCAGCGGCAAATTCCATCATAAAAGTACAAGAAAGCCAATTAGTTTCGTACTCGACATGTCATGTCGTGTGTTTGGCAGTAGCACTGGAGATGTATATTCTCTGAAAACGTGGTGCAAGTGGGAGGTAAAATAATTTGGATAACGCGGACCTGAGGAACAAGAGACCTCAAAGTCTCACCAGTTTGAGGAACATCAAAGTTCATGCCTTTGTAATTCGCAACTTTAGGAGGATTGTTAAGTGGTTGGGGCGGGTTATTAAATTCTGAAGTTGAAGAGCCATATATATCATATATCATTTTATGATATGATCCCACGACATCTGATCGATCATAATCTCCCCACCAACCCATCTCGTTGGGAACATTACGAGATGAACCCACACTTTGTGGCAAAAGTAACAGATCGAATGGTTCATCATGAGAAGTCCAATTATAATAATTGTACACAAAACTTCTTGTCCACAAATGCCACCCAACAGTCTCGCTGTCTACAAATTTCACTTTCTTACACTTTGTACACAGACATCTTATTTTGTCACTGTCCGCACAATAGTTTCTAGAAGTGTCCATTTAATAAACTCTGCAATTCCTTCAAGAAATGATGTTCAGAATCCTCTACTTTTGTTATGCCTATCATACATCCAACTTCTATTTTCTCTATAAATATACCTGCATATTTTTATTAACATATTATATTGGTTAAAAGCTTAAAATAATAAACATTAATAATAACTACTTATATTTAATACTAGTATAAGGTAATTAAGTAGAAGGTAATTAATTTGTGAGATAAATCCTAATTAAGTAGACGATAATTAAATTAACAATATAATTACAATTTAAATACATATGCAAATGAATTTTAAATATATGCACTTAGTAAGCTTGAAAGCGAAGAGCACGCGCAACACATTAAGGATGTGACGGTGTTTACGCTCAACTCTACAGTTCTGTTGAGGAGTGCCAAAACAAGACGATTGAAAAATGATCCCATTATCAAAGAAATAATTTTTTAGACCATTGAATTCTGTTCCATTATCACTGCACACAATTTAATGTGCTGAGAAAATTGACAATCAACCATGGCAATAAAAGCTAGAAAAACCGAAACACCTTCCTTTTTATCCAGTAGTAAATAAACCCAAACAACTCTAGAAAAATCATCCACAATGGTTAAAAAATACTTAGCACCATAAGAAGATGGTGTATTGTATGGCCCCCACTGATCACAGTGTGCTAGTTCAAAAATATGTTTAGCAAAACTAGCACTAGTAGGAAAACTATCCCCAGTTTGTTTAGCTGTAAAACACACATCACATGTCGAAGTAATATTAACTTTGGTACCACGCACAAATGATAATTTTTGTAAGAGCTGTCTAGGAGGATGTCCAGGCCGTTGATGCCATAAATCTACTGAAGTTTGACCCACACGTACTGTCTGAACTGTAATCAAGGGTCTAAAGTAGTAAAGTCCATTCTCCCGTTCACCTGCCCCAATCAGTTTCCTCGAGTGACGTATATCAAATTACAACTCAAACTGGGAATATATAAAACATTATCCACATGAAAATAATCATTAAGCTCAATGAACCCTTCTTTGGTTGCAAGAATCTTCTATCCATTAGGAAGCCCAACTGGACACCCTTCCACGTTTTTAATATTGAACAAGTGCGAGAGAGTTCCAGTAACGTGATTAGACGTCCCGGTGTCAATTATCTATGACTCTGTTTTGGACTTACCCGTCATGCGCTGAGAAGTGGACGAAGGGTTACCAAAGGCAGCAATAAGCGCTCTCCATTGTTCTGAAGTGAAGTCGGGTAATGGCGTCGACTCCTTGTTCTCTGAGGTGGAAGATTGTGTTTCGCCCAAATTCCCAGCATTGGCGGTGGCATTAACACTCACATATGACCCCTGCTGTGTGCGAGAACCAACCATATGTTTGCCTCCACGAGATTATATCTTCCCACGTCCACCACTTTTTCCGTCAAAATGCGGCCGATCGCCCCACCATTCGGGGTACCCAACCAATTCAAAGCAATGAGCTACATCATGCCCATGGTAATTGCAGTGGGTACAAAACAAACTAGATTTGTCAATTTTATTAGGGTGGTTCTTTTTCCGTCCTTCTGTATGAACAATTAACCCAAGAATGTCATCTTTATCATTTTTCCCATGAGTAAATTCGCGCACACGCTCCTCCTGTACCACTTGTTGGTAGGCACGATTGAGTGTAGGCAATGGGATTTGTGTGAGAAGTTGAGAACGGGTTTGACAGAAGAATTCCAAGCACAAGCCCATCAAGAACTGATGGAATCTCTCCCGTTCTGAACGTTTTTCATACAATTGGTTCAAATTACATGTGCATTTGCCAAATGTGCAGCTAATCGGTGGTTCGTGGTTGTCCAGTTCGTCCCAGTATACCTTGAGTTTCGAATAGTATGTCCCAACAGACATATTTTTTGGTTGTTCGCATCTGACCAACTCTGTTTTCAACCGGTGTATCCTGGGTCCGTCCACGACTGAGAACCTCTCTTTCAGATCTGTCCAAAGTGAACGAGCGTTCTCATATTTGGAAATAGTGTGACTGACTTCAGGGGATATGGTGTTCATGAGCCAGGACACCAACATAGCATGAATAGTTATCCAATCTTCGTTCATCCATGGCGGTAGAGGCTTAGTGATACTGCCGTCCACAAACACAAACTTCTGGCGGGCACGCAACGCCAAATGAATGGAGCTCGCCCATTCCTCGTAATTATTTCCAGTCAACCGTACCGGGGTGTTAAAGTCACCCGATTAGTCTTGTGGCCCCAAGAAGAATGGTGATGTATGGTCCATCCTTGTAGGCCTCTCAGAAGCTTTTGTTTCATTGTCGTCTGGCGTGGCGGTGGAGACTCAAAGTTGCCATGTCTCTGATATCATATTAAGACCCGATGTTCCATCCTAAAAGGTTAGCTTGATAGGAGGAGTAGCCCATGTCTTAATATAGCACTTTGTTGATTTAAACTTTTCCGGTGTGAGATTCTAACACCACTCCTCATGACCAGACACTTCGTCTGGATCGTGTCGTCATTCATGTTTTTTCGTCGGTTTGCCATTGTCATTTTTTATAATCGTGTCGTCATTTTTCATAAGGGGCCCACACCATGGATCATTTTGGCTCTGATACCATGTTAAACAGCACACAAGAATAAAAGGAAGCAACATTTTATTATTATTGTTTTGTTCTATCTTACAACCGAATGGCCAAAAGGCCATATATACATAATACTGAAGCTAAAGATGGAAATAAACTTAAATAGTAGTCCTAAAAGAGCTCCTAGAATATATGGCTACCAAAAATAAGGATTCGTAATATGTAAAGATATTATACGCCTTAATAATATCTTACCCAACTGTAATTTAGTGGTCCCCGAAATTTAATAATGGGACCGCGTTTGATCAATCGATCAACTCTATGGCTAAACATGAATATACAAATCATCATATAAATATCATCTAGACCAAGATGAATGTGACATGTGGTCTCGGAAATATTGGATGGTCCCTGCCCCTAGTATGGGCTCAACGTGCATTTTACTGTTCAAGTAACAGTAAAAATGAGAACACATTGCCTATTCATTCATCATTTTTCATGACTAAATATGTGGTTTCATATTTTGTGACACTTTAATAGAATGTTACACTTCCTTTTTAAGTGATCCGAAATGTATGAACATATAAAATTTTATCTCTTTGTTCCCATATCAAAATATCTTCAAAGTAGGGTCCTCCAAAAGTACCCTCTTTTAATGTACCAAATTAATCATATATTTATCATCCCATTATTTTG